GTAATAATTATCCCCATTTTACAGATGAAAAAGTTGAAACAAAATTTTTATTATCTTGGAGGAGAAAACAGTTCAGTTTCTTAGAGATACATTCAATTGAAAAACATCTTGACAACGTCCTCAACATTACTTGAGTAAATGTAACAAATCTTTGGTAAGGATATTCTTTTACTATCCTTTGGCTTTGGGCAAAGATTCTCATGCATAAGAATCACATGGCGGGGGGCCCGGCCCCATGGCTTAGCAGTTAAGTGCACGCGCTCCGCTATTGGCGGCCCAGGTTGGGATCCGGGTGTGCACAAACGCACTGCTTGTCCAGCCACGCTGAGGTGGCGTCCCACATACAGCAACTAGAAGGATGTGCAACTATGACATACAACTATCTACTGGGGCTTTGGGGAGAAAAAGGGGGAAAAAAAGGAGGAGGATTGGCAATAGATGTTAGCTCAGGGTAGGTCTTCCTCAGCAAAAAGAGGAGGATTGGCATGGATGTTAGCTCAGGGCTGATCTTCCTCAAAAAAAAAAAAAAAATAGAATCACATGGGGACTTTCCCTCACCCCAATTTTGGACCCCATGGGTCCTTGCTCCTCCAAGTGTGGCCTTTATGTGGCATGGCTTAGGAGGTTATTAGAAATGCAGGATCTCAAGCCTCACTCCAGAAGGTATCAGAACCTTATTTTAACAAGATTCCCAGGTGAGTTATATGCATGGTGAAGTTGAGAAGTGTGGCTTTCAGTGTAGAGGAGGTCCCAGGTGTCTGATTCTAAACCAACTCCCAGGGTGATTCTGACGTAGGTGATCAATGGTAAAATCATACTTGATATAACACTGCCCAGGACATGATACCGAAATGCAATCCACTGACAGCACTACTGTAAGCAACTTGAGAAGCCAAGAGTCAAGACAATATAAGACATGTGGCACCACAGTTGCTGTTCTGATGCTCTGCCTGGGTCCAAAAATAAAACCTAGGATACTGGCAGTCTTTCACCCACTTTTCCATCCCAACGTGCAGAGGAGAACCCATCCCTGTATCCCTTACATGAAGGGGAGCAGCAGAATGGCCTACCTCAGCCGTGAGATTCTTTTGCTGAAACTATAGCAAAAAACAATAGTGTGAATTTGGCATTAATGCCTTAATGTATTTGTATTTAACTTTTAAAAATGATTTGGAGGCCAGCCCGGTGGCGCCTGCGGTTAAGTGCGTGCACTCTGCTGTGGCGGCCTGGATGTTCGCTGGTTTGGATCCCGGGCACGCACCACTGACGCACTGCTTGTCAAGCCATGCTGTGGCGGCGTCCCATATAAAGTAGAGGAAAACGGGCACGGATGTTAGCCCAGGGCCAGTCTTCCTCAGCAAAAAACAAAAAGAAAAAAAAGAGGAGGATTGGCATCAGGTGTTAGCTCAGGGCTGGTCTTCTTCACAAAAAAAAAATAGACATTGCTGATAACATTAACCACAATAAAAAAAATTAACATTAAAAAAATGATTTAAATTATTTACCACTGGGCCAAAGTGATACTGTAGGAAGGTGTAAGGACCCCTGTATGTATTCCTACATAGTCTCAGGGTATATGGTCAGATGGTATATTAACTTCTACTTCTGGAAATTTGTAGTGGTCCTGAAAGGAAAATACTAGACAACAGGGTGGATAAATATGTAGTAGGGATCCCACAGTCCAATTTCTCGCAACATGCCCCTAAAGAGCGGGAGTGTGGCAGAGGACGGAGAAGCTCTAGGGGGCAAAGTGCAAACAGCCACCCCTGTTCTACGGTGAAGCAAACAGCTTCCACAAAGAGGAGCGACAGCACAGAATTAGAATCACAGCTGCCTGTTTCCCAAACTGGGCTCACTCTGGATTTCTGGAATTAAAGTCACAGGCATTCTCCATATACAGCTTTGTGAGTCAAAGTGGGCTCTTAAATACGGGAAAGATAAGGAGAACATGAAAAGGAGAAACTCTGAAAAGAACAGTTGACTTGTAAATCACACTGAATGGCTGGATCAGAAGACATTCACCAAAGGAAAACCACAACACACACATTTCACTGTATGTGAACCCGCTCCAAAAGTTTAAAGGAACCCTAAGTTCACAGGAAGCAAAATGGAAAACCGAGAAAACCCACTGTGGAGGCAAGATGATATGGCCTGGAATTCTGGCCCAGCCAGGCCTTTACACATTTGTTGAACTTCCCAGATTCTCATCTGTAAAATGCTGACAATGGTGTCCATGTTGCAGGGTTCTTGTAAGAATGCACACAAAATGCTTTGTGTAGTGGACGAGATCCAATCTTCAACAACAATAACACAATGGCTTACTAATATTAAGACAAAAAAATTTATTGATGGTTTATTGCACACCACGATGAAATCAAAGATAATTAAAATACTGGCTCTGATTTTTAAATAGCTTTCTTTCAAAGAAGATTAAAACTGAGATAATAATAACAAAGATAATTAACAATTACTGGGTATGTACATGGTCTGGGGTTGCTATAAGCACTTTTAAAGGATTGTCTCAGTAAGTGCTTATTACATCCCCAGGAGCTAGGCACAAATCCATTGTACAGATCAGGAACCTGAGGCCTGGAGAGGTGCAGGAAGTTTTATCAGCTCGCTCAGGAAGTAGCAGAGCTAGGATTCACCTGGATTCACCTCTGGACACCATGACTTCGCGGCTTGTACCTACCACAGTGGCTCAGGTCTCGACTCAGCCAACAATTCATTTCCAGGGGCTGCATTCCCTGCTGCCAAGTTGTCCTTCCCAGGTGCAAATATAAAATAAACCCCACAGCTCCATGGAGGGATGATATGAATCGCAGTTAGATGTGACTTCTGTAATCACCAAAGCGAGCTGCTTGCCCCTGGTCTCTCCCCATGGCGAACCTATCCTGACACACTGCCAACAGTTGTCTTCATGAAGCATATATGTGATCACCACACTTCTCTGCTTCAAAGGCTACCTGCTGTCTGCAGAACTCTGTCCAGGAGCTCAGCACAGGAGTCCTCTCCCAGTCGGCCGGACCTTCCTTCCCAGCCTCTGCCTTGGATCTTCTGGCTCTTCACCCCACACTCTTCCATAAGACAGTTCTGCAGGAAGTCAGGGCAGTCAGGGGTTCCACAGTTAACCTCCCGTGTGGCAAAAGGGAAAAAAAAACATTTAAAAAAATTTTTTCCTTACATTCTATTCTGTTGTTATAAAGTAAAAAATATGCTAAAAAAAATTTTTAAAAAGCTTACAATTAAAAACAACGTGCATATATATTTAAATATTTTTCACCTCCTACCAGCAATCTGGTGTTTTAGTGGAGGACAACTTTATTCGCATTTGCCCTGGAGTATGACGCTCCTTTTTTCTCCTGGACTGCAACCCTTTCTCTCTCTGAGGTGGCAAACTACTTACTATCCATCCCTAAACACAATTCAAATAGCACTTCCCTGGAAAGCCTTACTCCCCAAACCTCTTACACGGGCCATTTTCCCTTGCTTAGGGCTCCCAAAGCGGGGAGTATTTCTCTATCTTACAGTGTAATTGTACTGCCTGTAATTATTTATTTATACAACAATAGACCATGAGATCCTCTAGGGCAGGCGCCTCATCTCCGAATCCCTAGCTCTTAGCTTGGTGTTTGGCCCGCAGTAAGAACTTGAAAGTTTATCACTGAATACATGAATGAACGATCAAAGTCTAAAAGTCCCTACTCTCCTTAGATCTTGCAGGGAAAACATTTTTATACTGGACATGACTTTGGACACATCACTTTGATAAATTAGGCCCATAATATTTGAGGAGGGATTTGAAAAGAGCCAGGAAATGTCCCAAGAGGTAAATGTGTCCGTCAAAAAGCTAGCGACTTCCTAAGTGTGACCTGTTCGCACACCATGCCCTTCCCACCATCCTAGCTCCCCGAGCTACTTCTTGGATGGAGAGAATATTGTGTTCAAGATGGTATTTTTCTCCCCTTCGATGGAAGAGGTTTGCCCTCCTTTGATCTTTAACAGCCAAGTCGTTCACAATTCAGCCTCTGATTTTCCTACTGGAGTCCAACATCTTGGACTCACATCCCTTTCCATCATGGAGACATCCAACTTTGGATGTCTCCAATGGATAAGGAAAAGAGCCCCTCCAGAACTCCCACCCTCGCCCAACGACAGTCCCCCAGGTCGGGAAGGCGTTGTTCGGTCGCGGCGCTGGGCAGCGGATGGAGGCGCGCGGGGCGTCACCCAGGGCGCGGGGCTGGGCGCGCGGGGCGGGGCCGCGGTGGGCC